CTGATACATACTGATGTAAGTTTTTCAAATGCATCAACCTTTTTTTGAACTTGACCTTTCCTTTGACCTTGACTTCACTTTTCTTGAATAAGTGTCTAGATCAGTTTTGAATAAAAAAATTCAAGATATATTTATCAAACTTCATATGCTGATACATACTGCTGAGAGTTATCAATTGCATCAACTTTTTTGACCTTGACCTATTTTTTTTATATTTGTTTTTATCTACGTTTAAAAAAAAAAAACAAAACATTTATGATATTTTTATCAAACTTCGTATGCTAATAGTAAATATATACTTGTGTAAGCTTTTCAACTGCATCAACATTTTGACCTCAACCTTTCCTTTGACTTTGACCTCTCTTTTCTTAAATAAGTGTTAAGCTCAGTTTTGAATAAATCATTCAAGAAATTTTCATCAAACCTTATATGCTGATATGTATTAGTGAGAGCTATTCAACTGCATCAAAAACTTTTCACCTTGCACTTTCTTGTGACCTTGACCTCCCTTCTCTTTAATTTGTACTTTGCTTAGTTATAAAGAAACAATTTAAGATATTTTTATGTAAGCATGCACTCTTACAAGTACATAATTTGTTGAGAATTTATAATCGATATCCAATTTTTTTTTTAGATTTTAGTTTCAATTTTAAAGAAACTGTTCAAGATAGTCTCATCAAACTTCATTCACTCATATAAATTTTTATGTTGCATTAGTAATATACATTGTGCGGGGCATTCATGTCCTATGGACATATTTCTAGTTTTCAAATCATGACCTCAGAGGGTAGGGTCAGGCCACAATAAGGGATCAAATTTACAGTGTATATAGGAATAAAAGGAGAACAAATCAAAATTCTTCTTCTCAAGAACAACAAGAGCATGATTAATATGGATACATTCTCAAGAAGTTTGTACAAATCATGACCCCATGGGTTAGGGAGGGACCATTTTTCCTGCCCCTATTTGCCATCAACATGGAAATGCAAATTTTGAAACCATTACGCATCCACAGGACAAAACCAAATTGATAATATTCCAAATGATCATGATTTAAGGCTAATGCTTTAAATATAGGGGAAGTTCTGGGAACCAGGGTGTTTAAACATGATAATATTTAAAAAAAAATTTGACCCCAATTTGACCCCCATGGTGAAAATTAAAATTCCGAAACCTTAATGCACATCTACAGGACACCACCAACCATCTCCCAAAAGATGATTAGGCTACTGTGTAAAATGTAAGAGGAGTTTGAGAAAGAAGAGTGTGACAGACGGACGGATGGACAGACATGAGTAACAACAATATACCCGAACTTTCTTTACAAAGTGCGGGTATAATGAAAAAAAAACTACTTTCATGCAACAGCAAGCTTAAAGTACATTAAAAAACAAATATACAGGTCTATGATAAGTACTAAAATAACTATCTTGTCGCATGCATTAACATATGTACACCTAAGAATCATTGCTTTTTAAAGAAGAAAATTATAACAGTCAATAAAGTGTGATCGAACAGCTTTACCGACTTTGGCATGACGAATAGGTGATGTTACACAAGAAGCATTGTCCGAAGGTACGCCAGCTCTTGGCTCCCTGTGGCTTGTGAATTCGACTAACAATCTTCTGGACTCGATTGTTGCCTTCACTGTCAGAGGGAGCCCTGCAGGTCTGATCATCATGGTTCTCATCTCTAGGTATAATAAGTGGTTGGATAGTTATTTTTGAGCTCGGGGAACGTTTAGGAGCCGGAACCTGGTCCATCGTTTTACAATTTGAAAATCTGTCCTTTGAATGGGATAACTCATCATTATTGAGAATGTCAATAATTCATGTTCACTATAAACATAGTGACCTTCACCCTAGAACTATTTTTATTCCAAGGCAATGCAATAACCAGGATTGCCCAGTTTTTGCACTTTACAAATACGTGAAAGCATTCAATCACACTAAAGGTCCCCTGTTTCAATTTAAATGCGGATCTCCTATTTCACGTTCGTTCTTCAACTCGGTTCTTGGATCAGCTGTTTCATTTATAGGTCTGGATAATAGATTTTATAAAGGTCATAGTTTTCGTATAGGAGCAGCCACGTCTGCTGCAGCAAGGGGAATCCCGTTAAGTGTCATTCAGAATATGGGAAGATGGAAATCAGATGCATTTCTAAAGTACATTCGCATGCATAATTTTTGAAATGCAACAGACATTTTTTGAATTTCTGATTATCCGTTTCCTAGTATATGGGTTAGGATTGCCTACCAGCTAGGACCATAAATTAGTTTGCTGGGTCAGCACTGCCTGCCATTTTTAACACTAGTACTACTTATTTAATACGTTTATGTTGGTTTTAAGGCTGGGTCAGCACTGCCTGCCAGCAACAATTTTCTTACTTTACATTATTAACTTTATGTAAGGCTGGGCCTGCATTGTCTGTCAGCAGAGAAACTTGTAGATGTACCTATACTCTTCTTTGGTCAATATCGGTTTACATCAGCAATTTTGAACACGTGGAGAAATGTTGATCTTTGTAATCTGGGACAGCATTCCTGCCAACAGTGAAATTCCTAAATATGTTTCATTGTGTGTGTACCTATTAAGTGGCATTCAAAATTGCCTCTTAATGATTATTATGATGTTTTACTTGTAGATGTACATTTATCACAGGTTGGCTCAGTTTAAAACTCGTGAATGCATTTTGAGCTTTAGTTATGAAAATGTTTAATTAGTTATGAGAGGTATTTTTCTGCATATCGCTTTTTCTGTACAGTTCCTTTTTAGCTACATTATTATTTTATTCTATTTTAGTTTTTATTTTATTTGACTCGTCATGTCTGCCAGAGTCCTTGGGTGGGGGATTCCCTCTTGCAGAGGTGATGGGTGGCAACATTATTTATCCCCACCTTTGCGAATCTATGTCATTTATTCAATCATATCAAATGATGCATTTTTTAAATGCTAATTATATAATATTCAATAATTTGAGTAATGTACTTTTGTGAATAAATGACCTTTTCACACAATATGTGTCTTATGTCTATTTTACGCAAAGCAAGCTCGGACTCTGGCTGTTTATAATGTAGAAGTACATTGGTTTGCATAAAAGGCATTCATCTATTATGTGTGTATTTCTAATTGTGATGTCGTTATCAATTTCGTGATTATGGATCTACTCTGTAATGAAAACATGTACGGAAGCCCATTTACACGGAAGCCCATTTAGTACCTATCCAAAATATTTTTGAATTCGTTATAACGAATTAAAAAAAAATTGTAATAACGAATTAAATTCGTTCAAACGGATTCTAAAATTTGCTGAATTCGTTATAACAAATTCACAAATACTTTTCTATAGGCCCCAGTTGTCGAATTTGATTAAACTACTTTAATTCGTTATAGCAAATTTTCCGTTTTGTTTAAACGAATTTAATTCGTTATTACAAATTTTAGAATTCTTTTAAACGAATGTAATCTGTTATGACAAAATTTTGAATTCGTTATAACGAATTTAACGAGTTTGGTATAACAAATTAAATTCGTTATCGATTTCAAAAAAATTGTTATAACGAATTAAATTCGTTCTTACCAATTCAATAATTCGTTATATCAAATTCAAAAATATTTTTTGATTGGTCAAAAATAGGCTTTTTTAGACCCTATAAAAAGATACCCCCCCCCCCCCAAAAAAAAAAATGTCGAATTTGTTATAGCAAATTTAATTTTAACAATGTCTTTAAATTTGTTATAATGAATTAAATCTTTTATAACTAATTTGTTGAATTCGTATTAACGAATTCAAAAAATTGTTATAACGAATTATATTCATATATATTTTTCTATAGGTTCTGATTGTTGAATTTGATTAAACGAATCTTAATTCGTTATAAGAAATTTTAGAATTTGATTAAATGAGTTTAATTTGTTAAAACAAGTTTTTGAATTCGTTATAACGAATTCCACAAATTTGTTATAACAAATTAAAATCGTTATAACAAATTCTACAATTCGTCATATCGAATTCAAAAATATTTTTGATATGTCCTAAATAAGCTTCCATACCTATCTAGGACTAATCAAACAATATTTTTGAATTCGATATAACGAATTGTCGAATTTGTTAGAACGAATTTAATTCGAATTAAAAAATTTGTTATAACAGATTATATTCGTTTAAGGACCCTCTATACACTGATGAAAAATGTTTTTTAGACTTTGCCAAAATTATATAGTTTAAAGGAGGATATTTTGAAATTAACTAATTCATTTTTAATATAGGGAGCCTGCCTTTTTTATCCAGGAAAAATCTTCAAAGACAATGAAGTAATAATCTTGAAAAATTGATTTTGCCTTTTCAAATGGAGAAAATCCAAGCAAATAAAGTTTTCAACTACTCTATCTTGGTCTAATATAATTTGTAGAATACTTGGATTTATTTTAAATTATGTCATAGAATGCGGATTATAATTTATTTTTTTGTGTGTCAAATTATGGGTCGGTCTAATTACACAAAAGTAACATAAAAAAGGGTGGAGTGTAGAGAGGGTTCTTAGATGAATTCTAAAATTTGTAATAACGAATTTAATTCGTTTAAACAAATTCGACAATTCGTTATATCGAATTCAAAAACATTTTTTGATAGGTCCTAAATTGGCTTCCGTAAGAAACACAAGAAACACATACGCGTTAACAAATAATGTCAAGGATAGGACGTGTCAAAAGATGATATTTCAGAAATACATACATTATAAAATCTCATAAAGAGTATTTACTATCCCTAGGTTTTATGTGTTTCTGATGAAATCAAAGTCTCCCGTCTTTTCTATGACCTTATATGTTTTACAAAACCTAAATGCAGAAACGTTTTTATTTTATTTTTATTTATTTATTTTTTTTTTTAATTTTAATTTTTTTTTTGCGTCAAAGGAAAACTGAGTTATTATTTCATAATCCTCTAGAAAAAAAAAAACAGGTTGAAAAATTCTTAGATTATAAATATTCAAGATAAATGGTATACATATTCATTTTATTATCAATGGATAGCTTTTTGAGATTCATTGCCTTCTAAATATCCATCCTTTTCCCCTAAAGAGTCAAAACGTTTTACGTGGTATGAAAGTGTGTTCTTTTAGTAGGATGTTTATTCTTTTCTTCGTAGCTAGAGGGATTGAACGTACTGAGGGTTCTCTGGACTCAGATGTTTCACTGATGGACATGTTGGTCAGACTGTTCCCTTTTTGATGACTTTGTCTTTTGTTGGCGGCATGCGATATTCTTTCAATAGCATTTTTACATTTTTCCTGCTGACCTATATCTAATCCAAGTTGCTGCAGTTTGTCACTGTCCAAACGCAGGAAGGTAGCAACACAGTCGATATGGTTCTGCTTAAACAAGTCTTCAACACTTGTTAAATGAAAGTCTTTAATAACTTTATCAAAGCTTTCCTTATCGAATCCCGTAGCTGTAAAATATATCGTCAATGATTATTTGAACACTGGTTTTCACGACAAAAACATCATTGAATTTAAATATGCACAATAAATTCAAAGCCAGAAAAAAATAACATTTTTTTAAGTTCTTTTATTAGAAGTAAAATAAGCCTGGATCCAATTAAAACTCTTTTTGAAAATCTTTAAAAAATGAATATATTTCTTTCGATATTGTATGTTTTTTTAAGTTTACTGTTATAGGCAGTCCAAGAAATGTCTGTCTCCTCGCCTGTATCCGATAGAAAGGGCGGGAAAGTGTCAGTTTCATTCTGATTTTCCTGCAAATGCTAATGAATTTAGACATGATATATTATAGCATCTTTCATGCTGGGTAAGAAACAAAAGGCCCATGGACCACATTGCTCACCTGAGTACTCTAGCCACAGAAAAGCAGAAATGTAAGCGATCTAAACATACTCCCAAGGGGCATTCTTTAAACAAAATTGAATCAACACTAACCGTTTCCATATTTCTTTGACTAATCACTGTTTTAAAAAGATTTTTAACAATTTCCACCCATATATTTCCATGCTATTTCCTATGATTTTCTATTGTTACTCAACCCTATCCCCGGGGACATGATTTGAACAAACTTATATCTACGCTACATCTCATATGACTAATTACGGCTTTGCTGTATTTGAGAAGATTTTAAAAGATATTTTTCCTTGATATTTTTTATGTGAAACTTTGATCTCCGTTTTGGCCCAATCATATCCCTGGTGGTCATAATTTAAACAAATTTGAAGCTAAACTGCCTGAGAACGCTTCTATATTGAAGTCTTATTATGGCTTTGCTTTCTTGAGAAGAAATTTTAAAAAAAGATTTTCCTTTATAATCTCATGTACAACTTTAATACCCTGGCCCAACCTTACACCCGGGATTACGATTTAAAGAGTTTAATTTTAATCAGCACTATATAATAAAGCCTCTCACATGTTTCATATTTTGTGGCCCAGTAGTTTTTGAGAGGGTTTAAAAGATGCCATAAAATTTTCACTAATTCTTACAAATAATCATCTCCCGTTCGAAGAGGGCATGCCCCTTCATTTGAATAAATTCAAATCCCCTTCACCAAAGAATTCTTCGTGGCATGTTTGATTGAAATTGGTCCAATGGTTCTTGGGAAGAAGTTGACAATGTGTCAAGACAACGCTCAAAACACGACAGACACGTTTCGATCAGAAAGCTTACTTGAGCCGTGGGCTCTTGTGAGCTAAAAATAGATATAAAATTGAACTGGCAAAGTATTTACGGATTTAGAATTACTTATTTAAAAAAATTTAAAGGAAAGAAAGGAAAAGATACTTTACGCATTTATTTTTGAATTTCAACAGCCCCTGAAGGATATTCATTTAATTTTAGATAAAGTTAAAAATGGTATTCTTAAATCAATAATCTAAGACTCTAAGATTTTAAACATCTTTTTTATACTTACATTATTTTTCCTCTTTTTTTCTTTATAATCTGAAATCAAATTACAGTAAAAACTAGAGATCTACGGGCAGTGAGTTCTCCTGAGTAACCTTGTTCAAGTTTTCAGAAAAAATGTTTAAACAAAAAATTCTTTAGATTCCAATAAAAAAAAGTATCATTTGGCCCCGCCCAGTCAAAAGGGATCATAACTTAACAAACAAAAATTGACACAACATAGGAAAGCCTAAATATTAAAGGGTTATATATATTAAAAATGATTCAAACCAATTTTGAAATGTTTGGAATAAATTTGATTGTGGTTGATTCATAAAATGAAAATTGTTAAAGATATTTTCTATACATTCCCATTATATGCCTAATTGTGGACCTACAAACCGCTTTTGTCCATTATTTGAACAGGCGTTCTCACTACCTTAAATTGCTTACATAGAAAGACAATAAATAATACTCCTGCTGTTTCTGAGAAGATTTCTAAATATTTGTTGAAACGCAAACACATATAAAACCACAATGTCCTATTGTGTCCCCCACCCTTCTTTTACCAAATGTGTATGTGCTATTTTTTTTTTTTTTTTTTTTTTTTTTTTTTTTTTTTTTTTTAACAAAGATTTTTAAAAACCTTTATCTGAGAAGAAAATTTGAAATGCCGCCAGATCTCTTAATATATATGCATATCATCTCTCCTTAAGAGCGTTTGGCCTTTCACATGAACAACTTTGAATTCCATTTATCCAAGAATGCTTTGTGACAGTTCAGGTAGAAATTGGCCTAGTTGTTCTGCGGAAGATGTATCAAAAGTTTACAGAAAACTCACATGCATATGGCAAAATGAATATAAGACATACTTTGATCAGATTATACTTTTGGCTCACGTGAGCTAAAACGGCTGAAAAGTACAGACAGTCTGTAGAAAGAATGATTTAAAGAAAACTGCTTTCTGAAACCCAAATCAATAATGATTCTGTATCTCATAAACAATATTGATCCTTGTCATATGATATATACGCCTTATACCTTCTTCACATTGTAAATTTGATGTGTGCATATTTTATTCACCTTTTAGTATTCCATACAATTTTTGTACCAAAACAGTCAACAGCAGACCAGACACAAACGCTACGAAAGCTGAGACAGAAATCCTGAAAATTTTGTTTAAAACATTAAAACAGGAAAATAATAAATGTGGGTCTTAAAATCTAAATTTCAAGAAAATATGGGATAAAAAGTTGTACCATGTTGCATTTTTGTGACTTTTTACATTGTCTGATTTCAACTGCTGGTTAACTTTAAGTTTATAGCAACCTGAAACTAAGACAACAGGTTAAAAAAAATGTTATTTTGTATTATCATATTTTTCACTGATATCATAGTATATTTATCGTTTAGACATTTATCTTTTAGATTAACTATATAAATTTTCTTAAAAATGTAGATAAGGTTTGCCTGTAGTAATATGAATACATAGAGTACAAATAGAAAATATTTTAAATTATGTACAAGTCAACATACAAGCTGTAGAGTTCCAAGAAGCAAATCCGATAGGACAAGGTTCTTGAAATCTCGTACAAGAACTTTTAAATATCTGTTGAATTTGAAATCCTAGTGTGTCAAAGCCAACACAGTATCCTGTCAATGACATAAGAAAAATAAGAAAAACTACTAAAATGCATGTGATTATTTAATACTTTGCCTACAAATTCAACTATATGCTGTCACAAGACAGTAATACCCGCACAAAGGTGTTTTGCCTCTAAGTGTACACCATTCATATTTGGGTAGTCAAGGAAAAAAGCCAGAATAATTCTATAATTTACACAGTACATGTATATGTCAAATCGAGCATAAAATGCTCATGTGGTGAACATGTGACCCATGAGCCTCTTACGTGGGTATTTCATATACTTAATTCATTACCAGTCTGAAATTACAGAATTTAATTAATGATGTAAATTATGTTTTGAAAAAAAGGGGATATAAATTTTTGGCCCATAATTGGAAATTTTTAAATTTATTTTCTACACAACAAATAATATCATTTTAATGCAAAGCATTTTTGATGAACTTAAAAAAAATTAGATAGCAACTTTCAGAATTGATCAAATTGTGCAAACTTATTTGGATAGGCAAAAGCCCTCTCGAAAACCCACACCCAATCAATTTTGTCAACCCCCCCCCCCCTCACACACACACACACAATTTGGAAATAGATAACAAAGTTATGTTTAAACACTGTGTGTAATGATAATATGAAAGTACATGTACTATACCTTTTTCAAAATGTCTAGGCTCGCGCCTCAGATTGGACTTGCGTCACCCTACTAGTACTAGTTTTACCACTATCGTTATTGGATTTCACAGGATGTACACATCATTACATGTATATCAGTAGGAATTAATTCATTGTGTGTTTTAATTGGATTATATTTCATGAAGTTGACAGTGCCTATGACAGGCGGTAAGTACAAATTTAGGTATAGAATGGGGTGAAATAATCTGAAATGCAAATACATAGGTTATAGCTTAAAATGGATCAAAGATCATCCAATGCCACAATATAGACGAGTTTCACATTCTGAAGAGTTATCTCCCGTTGTCAACATAACGCTCATTTCTCTCACTTTAGTCCCTATAGCCTGTAAATATTTCCAAACTTCAAACGCTATCGGGCAATTTTGATCCGTTCCTGTATTTTTAGAGTATGGGTCAACATGAAAAACATAATGAACATATTCATATAAATTCTATTTCTAAGAGTTGGTAACGTTATAGAGGAAAAAAGTGCCTTACGCCGGTTGACCCCAGATTGACAACACAAAGGAAAATAACTCGTGTAAATTGTGAAAATCGTTGTCACTTGGGGGGGGGGGGTCTCCATTCCCATTCGCTTGATATTTTCTGTTTTGTTTGTATGTTGTTTAACGTCCCTCTCGAGAACTTTTCACTCATATGGAGACGCCACCACTTGCCAGCGGAGGGCTACAAATTTTGACCTTTTACTCGGCACTCAGGGCCATTGAGCAGTGAGGGATCTTTTTCGTGCCAGCACCTACTGTGACACGGGACCTCGGTTTATACGGTCTCATCCGAATGACCGGTCCCCACGTCCTGCAGTGGGATCCCTTGATATTGAAACAATCTAAATCAAATAGCTTAAAATAAAACTGGAAACCTCAAAGCCTTCTTTGTATTATGACAGATAAAATGGTATAAGTGGACATGAACGACCACCCTCCTTCCTCCCCTTCCCCCGATCTCCCTGGTCATTCCCTATCCCTGAAATGACAATTGATCATGTAACTCAAAAATAATTTAAAACTTTTGACTATACATAATTTTGTTTCTTGTGTTATGAGTATCTAATAGTGTCTAATATCATTCAAGATTGTATCATGATTTTGGGTCAACCCTACCTACTAGAGTTAGGAATGAAAATCATTCAGAGAGATGCACAATTAAACTATTTGTATATATTCACATTTTTTATGTGATAGAAAGTACTGGTTTGCACACATGAACAAACTGGGGTCTGGGAAGGGGGGATTATGTCTAAGTGCATATCTTAATTGTTGAAAACTCCTAAAATGAATTTTAACCCCATTTCTGACTTGTCAACATTATTTACTCTTCTCACCACATACATGTACATGTTTTTTAGTCAACAGATATACTTCTGGACATATCTCTAGTTCTCCGTTGAGCCAGGAATGCATGATGATATAAACATTTTAAGAATGATTAAGATTTGAAAAGGTCTTGCATCTTAAAATTAATTAAGCTCTGTGGTTGATTTAGCTATACCAGTTTAGCTTTATTTTGATACTCAAAATACCTGGATTATTTATTTATATTTATATATTTTTTTCTGATATGTGCAGTTTTTTCAACATGGATAAAAGTCATACTATTGTGAAATAGAATACACTTTCTGTTTTGAACTATTCTAAAAACAATGCATAAAAAAAACTCCTTTTCAAATAATGTAGCTCTTTCCAAGCACTTGTGATCACAAGTTTTTAGTTCACTTGAGCTTTTTCTGTTTTTCTGATCACTTTTTTGTTTGCCGTCCATGTTAGTCTGTACACTTTTCAATTTTTTACTTCTTCTCTAGAACACTGGGCCAATTTCAACCAACTTTGCCACGAAAGATCCTTGGGTAAAAGGGATTCAAGTTTATTCAAATGAAGGGCCACACCCTCTGTCAAGGGGAAATAATTAAGAATTATTGAAAATTTGGTGGTTTCATTTAAAAAAACTTCTTCTCAGGAGCCACTGGGTCAAAAAAGTTGAGACTTATAGGAAACTTTCTTTACATAAAGTAGATTCAAGTTTGTTCAAATCAAGACCCCCTGGGGTAGGGCGGGCCATATCGGGGGATCCAGAGTTTTACATAGAAATATGAAGGAAAAAAACTTCATAATTCTTCTGAAGAAGAGCAAGGGCATTATTAGTCATATTGATATGGAAAAATCCTCAGATATTGTTGACTAATTTTTTTTCAAATCATGACCTCCGGAGGTACAGTACCAACCAGACCTAACCTGATAGATAGCAGTCCCGGCCGGGGACTGCTTTCTGGGACTGCTACAGCAGTCCCACAGCGTTCCCAGAGCAGTCCCACAGCTGTCCCACAGCGGTTTCAGAGCAGTCCCACAGCTGTCCCAGCGGTCCCAGAAAGCTGTCCCAGCAGTCCCAGTAGGCGGGGTTAATAATTTAATGGGCCGAGCTTAGTCATAACTGAGATTACATAGTGTATCAACAAACAATGTCAGTAATATAAAGGCAGTTGAAATTTAATGATAAACTTCTTTTTTAGGAGAAAAAGTGTTAGATATGTTACATGTACGTGTACAGTATATATGCAATTCTTTTGTGACAATTATTTCTGAACAACTAACAAAATTACAGTATATAAAATAATAATAATAATAGAAGACTTTCACACTAAATACACTGTTATTACATCTGTAGCATATTAATTTGAAACCAAATTAAACTATTGTTTATTAAATTTTATTTATTGATAATGGTTACCATATATATTTTTATAGAAATTTAATCATGTGCTAAATAAAATAAAGGCTTATTTTAGACTAGAATTTAATGACTTTGAAATAGATCCTACAAGCAAGGCCGATTCCAATATTACTCCGTATATACGTATTTATTGACGTTGAATCTTGAGAAAATATAATTGTATATAATGAATCTGATAACAGTTAATTCTTCATCAAATTTTGCTTACTAATATATTCTGGTTAAAATTTTCATTTACTTGCCGATATTATTATTGTAAGAATATTTACGCAACATAAAACAATTTCACAAAAATATTTCCTAAGTTTCAAACACCTGCATTTATGTTATATACACGGATTAAAAAATCACTTTCTGACTTCTGTTTTTCTAAACTGGTAAAACAACTTTTTATTATTACCAACACTTAATTATTTTTTCTAATTGATATTACACTGCAATGGTGCAAAATTGGCGGTTGACGTATATCCTTCAGTATTTAACCGTTCTTGTTGAATTTTTGGAAAATCCTTCTTGATTAATTTTACTTTTACAACTTCTCTGCTGAAAGTAAACAAAACTACTGTACAAAATGAAACCTGCAAATTCAGAATACACAAGGGGCGGGGCTTTCTTGTTACTCAGAATCATTCTCACGCATTGGTGAACAAAGCAGTCCAAGAAAGCAGTCCCAGGGACTGCTGGGACTGCTGGTTTTGCTTTCTAGAGCAGTCCCACAGCGGTCCCAGAGCAGTCCAACAGCGGTCCTAGAGCAGTCCCGGGGAATGCTTTCTGGGACTGCTTGGGTGTCAGGTTGGGTCTGGCGTGTACTGTTGGGGGGGGGGGGCACAATAAGGGATCAAGGTTTCACATGAGAATAAGGCCAAAAAAAAAAAATAATAGTCTTGTTTCCTGCTACCCGACCGACCTTATTTTTTTGCACCCGACACTAAAGTTCTTTTTTAGTTTTGGATGCTCGGAATTTCATGTTCCAAAACTAAAAAAATATATATATTCAAGTGGTATTTTATGAAATTCTATGTCTAAATATGGACTTTCATAAAATACCACTTGAGTTGTGCATCAAAAGACATGACATTTAAATTTAAAAGACAATATTGACCTATGACATGTTTAATTTGATTTTGCATTAGTTCATATCCAAAAGGACAGTCGAACCAAAAATAATAAAATAAAATACAAAAAATTAATTAATTTTCCTACCTACCTACCCTGTATTTTTCAAGGTGGTAACAGGAAACTACACTATTATTTTTTGGCCTAAAAGGAAAAAATCTTCAAACTTCTTCTTTTGAAGAAAAACAAGACTACGATTAGTCATATTAATATGAAAACTTTTCAAGTAGTGTAAATTCAAGTTTGTACAGATCATGACCCCATGGAGTAGAATGGGGCCACATTGTTGGATTAAAGTTTTACATAGGAACATATAGGAAAATATCTTCTCATTGACAAGAACAGCAAAGCCATGATTAGTCATATAAATATGAAAGCATCCTCAGGTAGTGTACGTAGATTCAACTTTGTTGAAATCTTGACCCCGGGAAGGGAGGGGGGGGAGGCAATTGAGGGGTATTTTCTTTTTTCCTTTTCTTTCTCTCTTTTAGACATCTACATGTACTTGGACCAAAAATTTAAATGGAATAATATGAAAAGGTTTTTTTTATCTCCTGTCATAAATATGGCCGGGCATATAAAATTTGTCATGTCCGTCTTCTGTCTTCCCGTCCTTCTG